GAGAGAGAGAGAGAGAGAGAGAGAGAGAGAGAGAGAGAGAGAGAGCGAGCGAGCCAATGGCTGTTTTTCCAGGTGGTAATAAATTCGGCGCACAGAGGAATTCGTCTATCATACCTCGACGGTGTGGTATTCTCTGTCCGACACCAAAAACCCGTCTGTACCACCAAAGCGTCGCGCGTCGTTATTATGGAAAGAAGAAAAACAATTTCTGGGAAGTAATAAATCCCAGGCACATGTACACGTACATAAACATACACATACACATACGTGTACTCTTACGCTTACACAGTCCCCCTTTACCTCGCCACGCGAGTACCTGATGTAAATTCGTCGTGCCTCCAGCCGTGAAACGGATTTTACCTCGGAATAACGCACGTACGTTTCGTCGCCGGATATCTTATCGCGACGCGATGCGGCGCGGCTCGTGTTATCAGCTAATGTATTTATGGGGTGGGATATGAACCTAGAGGATAGATATCGCGAGTTGGTAAGGCTGATATAGTTCAGCGGACGACGTGACGACGATGCAGGTATCAGTGAAGTATACAGGGTGAGACCAGAAATGTATACCATCGACGCTATTTTATTCCGTAGGAAATAAATCACGAGTTAATTCTTCCACTGAATTCCCGTCGTATTGTTCCTTGCGTATGCGTATGCTGTTCTTCTTTTTCCTAATATGCAGTTGACAGGATTATTTGTCACGTTATATTGACCGCGTTCAGCGAAAAGAGCTGCTGCGTAACTGTTGTCGAAATCGTGAATCTGATCAGTATATACTCTTAAATTCAGTCAAAGTTAAGACCATACGTCAATAAGACTCGTAAATTTTGCGACAATTACAAAGCAATTTTCTGTGCTGACGTGTAGTCATCTTTTTTTTCCTTTCAGAGAAAGAGAGAGAGAGAGAGAGAGAGAGTGTGTGTGTGTGTGTGTTTGTGAATCCATATTAGCGACTTAGCTATATTTAGATTGTTTTTAATATACTATATTTATTAGATGAGCTGAAGAGGTTTTTCTCCTTTTAGATTAGATATCTCTATTTATATATTTTTCTATCCATTCCTTCACCAAGTTTCTCACGAGTACACGATTGTTTGAACAAGCCATATAACATGGAGCTATTCAGAATGGATTCCGATCAGAATAATTTGGTTTTCCTCAAAAAACATGATAGAAATCTAAGAGATAACGGAATTATCGACTCCGATTAATTTTTTCTCTTGGGACCAAGTCATACACAACAAAAAAATTCAGGGACAAGCGTGAAGTCGTTTACATGTAATCTGTATAACATGTATTGTTTATAGACACGAACGTTACGTTCTGTAACGTCGACACGACGTTCCGCCGACATCACGTCCCGTGATACAAGCTGATATATTAAATGTATTAGAGAGATAAAATAATATCTATGGAAGCGCGCAGAGCACAGAACGTACTTTTCCAAATATGCTTTTACGTAACGTTTTATTACGCTATAATTCACGTAGCGATACTGCGAATAATCTACCAACAAATAAACGAACAAACGAAAAATAATCTCTCTCTCTCTCGCTCTCACTCTCCACTTCTTCCTCTCTTCCCCGTCCCTCTCACTCTGGACTTACGAAGTAAGATTACTTCATAGTTGAGGTAAGTGAGAATAAGCGTGCGTCTAGAGTACAAAATCTTTATATCCTTCCCTGATAAGCGAAATGAGAGAGAGAGAGAGAGAGAGAGAGAGAGAGAGAGAGAGAGAGAGAGAGAG